AATCTACTACCGTTCACAAACCATATCCAGGAACAGCCCCTGTGAGGCCCACAGAGTACTTTGCTTTCCTGTCATATTGTCTCGATTCCCAAGGTAACATTTCAGTTTCATTGCTGAACAGCTGCAGTCTCTAGAATGATATTAATGAACATGTTGGGTCTAACAAATTGCTGGTTTATTACTTGAGGTCTGAAAAAACCTCATGGGTCAAAACTTGTCCAGCCGTTCCATGAGGTCACACGTAATTTCTGAGGAGGATAATTTGATTAAACCCAACTAAAGAGTTCAAATTTTGGTAACTACAGTTAAAAAGGGTGAACAGTGTACATGACAGTGTCCAAGGAAAATAGCGAACACATATACTTAGTCAGGTGTTAACTGCAAACAAATTGAAAATTCAGAAACTTTTGTATTTAACCATTAAAGCAATAGAGAAACTTAATTGACCAAATATTTTTCAGATTAGGATTCCAACAGCCCATGAGCTAGTATTGATTCTCCTGTCATTTTCATGTTCAGGTAATGAGTATAAACCACCTAAAGGCTGGTAAGATAGCAAATTTCCTTGCTCGTGACAGATCATAGTCATAACAATTCTGTTAAAATCTGAGAGCTTTTTCTATTTTGGCCTCAGCCATTCACAATTTATTCAATAACCTTTGGAAGAACGGAGATGGAATTGTTAATATTGAGGTGCTCTTTTCAAACTTGAGGTTCAGTTATTAGTGGCAGGGTGGGGGGGGGATGGGCACTTGATCAGCCAGAGCCAGAGAAAACTAAGATGACCAGCTTGCTCAGGGACAGGAAGCTGGGATAGCCAACAGCAGTAACAGCCTGGGAAGCAGAATTCGCTGCTCTTCCTGACCCACAAGGAACACTATAAAGCCACGTCCCTTCTCCCTGAAGCTGTCCCTGCTTAACTTCAAGCCACTCATGTTAAACCCTGTAATGTTAGGTTAAAGCCAGCCTTGTCAAAATATTTAAATATTCATCTAACCTACTGCTCCTTCCTCTGCTAAGTCTGGAAGGGGGTGAAATGAAAGGGTTGGAAGTAAGTATGAACAAACACAGAGAATGTTGGAGAAACTCAGCAGGTCTGTGGAGAGAGAGAAAAAAAAAGAGACAGACAGATTTACCCATTCGAGTCTGGTATGCATCATCATCTTAAGTTCTGAAGAAGAGTTATAAAGGACTTGAATCATTAACTCTGTCATTCTCTCTCTCTCCATCCACAGATGCTGCCAGACGTGCTGAGTTTCTCCAGTGTTTTCTCTATTAGTTTCAGAATTCCAGCACCTGCAGGATTTTGCCTTTATTTGAGATAGGTAGAAGCCGGGTTTGAGATTTTTAGAAAGTATCAACATTCCCAACCCAAAACGTCAACGTTCCTGCTCCTCTGATGCTGCCTGGCCTGCTGTGCTCCTCCAGCTCCACACTGTACTGTCTCTGACTCCAGCATCGGCAGTTCTTACTATCTCTCAACATTTAACCCACCTGTTTTGGGGGTTAAAGGTTATTCTTTAATTTCTGGAAGTTTTCTTACAACTTTTGAAGACATTGGCCCACCTCTTCTTGTTTTCAGAATGAAACAGGAGAATTTCCAGGAAGGCAACCCAGGCCTATTAAAGGTGAGGAATCCAACTGGATCTTCCAGCAAGCAGGCAGCTGATTTCAGGTAGAATTCAAACCCCAGACCAGGATAACGCTCCTGTCAAACAGCAACTCCAAACCCCAGCAGGTACCAGGAACCTCGAAGCCCCTACCACAAAGGGTCAACAATGAGAAAAGTGAATGCAACTTCACAAGGGTTTCTGGGATTGGGAGATGTGGGGAGACGGGTTTGGAGGGGTCAGAAGTAAGGACAGGGGCTGGGTTTCAGTAGTGACCCTCCCCTTGCCCTAGGTTCAGTCCCTCGATCTTGCACAAATTAGTGTAGAATCACCTCCAGCAAACTGCCAGCTCCTTGGATGGGCTTACCATTTAGGACGCCACCTATGCCATGTCCTACCAGAGCTGAAGCAATCACAGCTCGAGGATGAAGCCTTTAAGTGGTCATTAAGGGCCTGAGTTGATGACAGAACAAGAAGGCCGAACCTAGGCCTTTATGGATACAACCTAAACCAGGTGAAAGGGTTCTGGGACACCAAAATCCACTGAATTCAGTTAATCTCCCATCTCCAAGTCCCCCAGACCAGGAAGACAATGTCCAACCATGGTCATTTTCAAATCCTGCCAGATTCTGATCCAGTCAAAGTCTCAGCTGGTATCGGAGATGAGGAGGTTTGAAAAACTACAGCCAGAATCAGCAGAAAGAGGAATGTTTATAGGAGAGGGCTGATGAAAATGTTGAAAGTGCTGGGTAAGGGTAATGGATAAATAATGAACAACAGATTCAATGATGATTGTCAGTTTCCAACAGTTAGTAAATTGCCAACAAGGGACATAGATTTAGGATTAACTGAACCGGGAAAAGACACTTTTTCCATAACAATTATTTAGGTGTAAAATAATTTATCAGGAACAACCATTAAAGTTTAGCCAAATAAAATATCCAAGATGGAATTAGATGAAAAAAGCAGCAAGGAAAACACATTGAAAGGAATGAGGAAACTCCAGTGAAATGGGTTGAAATGATTCTGCATAAGGCAGTGTAGTCAACATGGATTAAATGACATCTTTATGTTATAATCTACAAGAACCTTTTATCAAGTGGCTAGTATATAATTCAGAGTTACAAGAGATTCTGAGTACAGACTCTTAACAAAATTAACATATAGTGTTTTATTTGTTGGTGGGATGTGGGCATTGTTTGGCTGGGCCAGCACTTATTGCCCATCTCTAACTGCCCATGAGAAGGCAATGGTAGCTTCCATTTGCTGTGATCCTTGGAGTATATGAACACCCATAGGCTTGTTAAAGGGGAGCTCCATGATTCTGACCCAGCGATACTGAAGGAACGGCAATACATTTCCAAGTCAAGACAGTGAGTGGCTCGGAGAGGAACTTGCAGGTGGTGATGTTCCCATGCATTTGTGGTGTTGGTTTGGAAGGTGTTGTTGGAGGAGCCTTGCTGAGTTGTTCCAATACATCTTGTAGCAATTTCTGGGCAATTGTCATTCAGTTCAGAACCAGAAAAGTTCTAGTTATATTTTTAGTGTGGGATTTGTGAGACTAACTTGGGGGACAGTATGATGAAGCTTGGCAATCATCAGTTGGTTATCACCTCATCAACCGCCTATTGCAGTTTAAATATGTACAAAATTACTGCAGCGGAATAAAACCTGATAATAACATCTTGACACATATTGTTTGAATAAAGAGTACACACTGCTTTCTGTGTGCGTTGATGGTGAAGGGAGAGCATGTTGAAGGCAGTGGATGTGATGCTATGATCAAGCAGGCTGCTTTGTCCTGGATGGTGTCAGGTTTCTGGAGTGTTGTTGGGGCTGCACCCATCCAGGCAGGTGGGGAGTATTCCATCACACTCCTGACTTGTGCCTTGTAGATGGTGGACAGGCTTTGGGGAGTCAGTAGGTGAGTTACTCACTGCAGTATTCCCAGCCCCTGATTTGATCTTGTAGTCATTGTGTTTGTGTGGCTGGTCCAGTTCAGTTCCTGATCAATGGTAACCCCCAGGATGTTGATAGTGTGGGATTCAGTGATGGAGATACCATGGAATGTCAAGGGACAGTGGTTAGAATGTCTCTTCTTGGTGATGGTCATAGCCTGGCATTTGTGTGGCATGAATGTAACTTGCCACTTTTCAGCTCAAGCCTGGATATTGTCCAGATCCTGTTGCATTCAAACATGAACTGCTTCAGTATCTAAGGAGTCATGAGTAATGCTGGACATTGTGCAATCATCAGTGAACATCCCCACTTCTGACCTTATGATGGAGGGAAGGTCATTGATGAAGCAGCTTCAGATGGTTGGGCCTAGGACTCTACCATGAGGAACTCCTGCAGAGATATCCTGGAGCTGAGATGACTAACCTCCAACAACCACGACCATCTTCCTATGTGTCAGGTGTGACTCCAACCATCTATTCTAATGCTGTGTCAGGATATTATTAAAAGATTTGTAAAAGGTTCTATTCTGCTGCAGCAACTATGTATGTACTCAAACTGCAGTAGGCATTTGATGAGGTGATGACCAAGTGACAGTAGCTAAGCTTCATTATATTCTTTCCTAAAATAGCTTCACAAATTCCATGCTAAAAATATAACAAGATCTTTTCACGTTTTGAACTGAATGACAATCGCCCAGAAATTACGACTGGAATTAATGGTATACTGATTTAGCATAGCCTCTACATTTTTTTGTTGGCTGGTTTAATGTGGATATTAACCCTTGATTAGAATAGTTAACAAACAAATACTTTGCAAACATATTAAATATTTTCTAATGTCATAAATAATACCTAAACAGTTAGGGCAGTTTTGAGTCTTTTCCAAATTTGGCATATTTCAGAGAATAAGGTGGGCTAGTTCAAAAGTATCACAAAAATTTGTGCAATTGCTTTAGGCAACATGGAGGTAACTGTATGTAGGGTATAATGTCCGTAAAAAAATGAATCAATCAATGGAGTCACCTAGGCAACAACATCAAGAATGACAGAAGTGTTACAGCACAGAGGTCATTTGGCCCATCCTGTCTGTACCAGAATAGTCTTGACCTGAATAGGTCTACATAACAAGGGAAAACCTACCTATTGTTACAAGTTTGGTATCATCCAAAATATTAGAAATAGTGCATGAATATTTCTTTCAATACCAGAAACATCATCAGAGGGAGCATTCATATAGCTTTCCATTAGCAAGCTCAAATTAGAAGAATATAATAAAATTCCATGGTGTGGATAAAATAATGCAACATTGATTTATTCACTTCAATGTTGTTGATGCCTTGTTGTTAAGTTAAAAGATGTTAAAAACATTTGTACATTTATCCTACTGACACGTAAACAGTTCAAAGTAACCAAAGTAACCAGCTTCACTTACCTTGTAGTTTCACCATAAAACTGTAATTTTAAAAAAATCTTGAATCTGAAAGTAGGTCTAACAATCACACATAATAAGGACTGTAATGTAATGCACAAACTTTGTTATCCCCTTAAAGGCCCTTCGCTAATTCGTACATTAAAGTTAAATATCCATTTTTAGCTAAGCCGACACATCCTCGAACACTTTAGAGTTTCTCTTTAATTGTTGATTGTTGAAAATGATGTCTAACTTCCCTACTATCCCATTTTTGGCTTTTTAACTGAAGTTGATCTTAATTGTGCTGCTGTCAGTTCCTTTGCAATTATATTTAGCAATCTTCAAAAACAGGAAGCAATTGTATGAAGAAATTTCTGTATCCTTCCTCATGTTAGCAAAACAGTTTCATGCCTGAATTCTGAGTTCCACCATCAACTGAGGCGAACATGATTTAATTATAAATTCCCTTCTTTCTCTACAATTAAATATTGAGACCCATTGAAGCCCATTGAGGCCCATATTGACTAGCCTCCAGGCCCACGGAGACAAGCGCTTTTATGTTGCTGACAATGAGCTTCAATGCCTCAAGCTACAGTGCCAGATTTTTTTGTAAACAGAAGCTCAGGAAACCTGTTCTTATGTGTATGTTGCTAACGGCTACCAATCTTCTCAGGGTTACTAACAGCAACAACAGTATCATCCAAATGAATAGGTCACTTTTGCATGTTCTCTGTAGGCAGAACTGTCCTGGTCATTCTGCCCAGGCACAGAAATGCAAAAGCTTCTGAGCTGCCAACATACAGGAATGTCAGCTTCACTAACCCCACTTCAGTGTGTGTGTGTGAGAGAGAGAGAAAGAGAGAGAGAGAGAGATTGAGAGAGGACATATTTAGTTCCTCCTCCCAAGTCACGACCTGCAACATAGACGCAGCGCTCTCTGATCACTGGCAAAATTTGAAAGAAGTAGTGACTCCATTAAACACACAGAGCGCTGAGCTGAATTAGATGTGAAAAGAGAACTAATTTAAAACAATCCAATTTTTTGAAAAGTTTTTTCACATTCCCTCACCGACACTCTCTTGCTGGTTAGGTTTTGTGAAGACATTTACTGCTAGCTTTAATACTCTCTTTCACAATTTCCACTTGACCTCTCACTGAGCTATGAGAAATAGAACTAGGACAATAAGGTTGCAATTAAAGGTCCTCCTCATGAGCTGGTCATGTTCAGGATTTTATTTCAAATGAATAACTGTGGCTTTACCTTATCACATTTTGCTTCTCTTTCACTGTGTGTGTGTGTGTGTGTGTGTGTGTGTGTGTGTGTGTGTGTGTGTGTGTGTGTATTCTAAAATGGCACTTCAACCACATGTAAAAGGGATCAGAGATAGTAGGAACTGCAGATGCTGGAGAATCCGAGACAACAAGGTGCAGGGCTGGATGAACACAGCAGGCCAAGCAGCATCATAGGAGCAGAGATATTTCTAACTGTCTAGCAATAATGTTTGAGAACGAGTTATGGGAAGCCAGACTTGAGTGAAGTGGAATATGAATGAATGGGGAAACAGCCAAAGATGCCACTTTCTCACGGTGACTGACAAAAGGTCACAAACTCAAGAGGAAGTATTCTGGTATCAATCGACAGGTACCATACGGGTGGGATTCTGGGTTGGGGTCAAATGGAGGTCAGGACTGTACAGGGGAAGAGTCAGCAGGCAGAGAGACTTCATGAAATGGCAGAGTGCAGCCAGAGAATGAGCTTACCAAGGTTGGTGAGCAAGATCTTGAAACCGGAGGCCCAATAGGAGCCCTTAGGCTTGAAAGAGCTCCAAGATGGAGGCACTTTTTCAGCAAAACTTTTAAAATGTTTTGAAATAATAAGAAGTGGCCGTGGCTGCCATCACAGAAACAATCCATCCACATTGCCGTTGTAGTCAATAGGAGCTGGGGACAGCATCTAAAGCTGAATGCAATGTTGTCCCTATTCCTCCAGTCAACAGCTGGCTCGTGTACCTACCCTCAGAGAGAGGCAACAGGAGTTTGAGCAAATTCCTGTCAGGCTCTGATAACAAGCCGCAAAACGTCACTATGTGCATTCATCAACAACCCACTGCTTTCAGGCAGGTTGCTCTGATAGCGCTAATCTTGCCATGGGATAAAGCTCTGGGGTCAGAGTGAGCACTGGTAAATTGGTCACCAGCCAGTGGTGAACCTCTACACACAGGCAAACATTCTGTTCTTGGTGTCACACATATACCAACACACACTTACCACCATTCTTCCCTTTAATTATATATATAGCACAGAGCTACTGAGGCAGAAGTTAATACCACCCGTTTCTCTTAAACTCTTTTTATTTCCAACCAACATCATTTCACACATCAATCTTGCAGAAGTGAGAGATTTCCATGGAAACTAGCCAAAGCACTGAGGATATGCATCAGAGATTCTCATTTGGAAGACAGATTGACTTAGGGTCAGAGGGGGACATGATAACTGCTGTATGATTGGTAATTGTAGGGGTGAGCTGTGGGGGGAGGAGGAATATTATCAGACAAATGGAAGCATAATAGATTTTTTTCATAGCCGAAAGGAGGAACTGATGCTCAATTACAAAACCATGCCTCAGCCTTAAAGGAAGCCTGATCCAACGGTGAGGGTGTCCGTGCAGACGGAAGTTAATCACTGGAACTTCTTTTTATTATTCATTCACAAGATGAAGGGGTCGATGGCTGGGCCAGCATTTATTGCCCATTCCAGAGGGCAGTTGGCCATTAAGAAAGGAAACTGCCATCCTTACCTGGTCTGGCCTATATGTCACTCCAGACCCATAGCAATGTGGTTGACTCATAACTGCCCTCTGGGCAATTAGGGATGGGCAATAAATGCTGGCCTAGCCAGTGATGCCCTCATGCCCTGAGTGAAAAAAAATTGAGTCAAGGACATTGCTGTGGGTTTGGAGTCACATGTGGGCCAGACCAGGTAATGATGGTAGTTTCCTTCTCTAAAGGACCAGATGGGTTTTTCCTGACAATCAGCATTGGATTTGTGGTCGTCATTAGACCCTTAATTCCAGATTTTTATTGAATTCAAAATCTCCCATTTGCCACAGCAGGATTCAAACCTGGGTCCCCAGAACATTAGCAATTATTCAATAAGAACATTAATTAATGGATTAACAGTGACATCACCACTAGGCCATCACTTCCCCTAAACTGTGCTATCTTTATGTAACTCCATAAAGATTTTCCAAGAGGCCATGTAAACATTTTGGAATAACAAGGAGAGGAGTACACACTCTGGCACGCTATATTTGCTGTAAACGTTCTGATCCTGTGACAGATGTTACTGAGCAGAAGTCCATGTGCTGGTGCAGTTGATGCTGAGCATTAGGTTGATTGTTGTGTTGTCTGGCAGGTCATGATGAGGGGGAACCTGCAAGTGTCCCATCTACAATGCTCTGTGACACAAACCTGAGTTGGTTTCTCAACATGATAAACTCAAAGGCAACAACTTAGGTGATATAGCACCTTTGATTTTGTCAAAACGTCACTTCAACACACTTCGAAGGAGCCTAAGCAGGAAAAAAACTGTGCCACTAAGTCTCACAAGAAGCTAATACATCAGTCAAACAAAAACAGTGTGTGAATGTGTGAGCGCGTGTATGGTGTGCGTGTGTGTTTGTGGCTGTGCATATTAAGTGAGAATATGAGTATTGAGTGAGTATATGAGTGTATGTTATTGGTGTCTGACTGTTACAGACCTGTAGGAGTACCTATGTGTTTGCACATGTATGTGTGCAGGGCAGCCTGTACTTGCAGCTGTGGAGTTTAAGCAAGAATTTAAAGTAGCCATCAGTGTAAGAGACCTTTGGGTTGTGTCTGTTCCCCAGGAAGAGAAATAAAGGGTGGAGATGCCAATCACATACTACTCCAAAATCTAGACAAGTGTCAGAAACAGTATTCTGCTGTAGAAAAATCAATCCTTGGTTTATTATTAGTTCTCACACACTTTGAGGTAAGTATCTGAAACAGGTACAGAGACACAGCAGTCTATACTGACTTTGGTGGAAAAGTTTAAGACACAAATTTTGGTCTATTTCACTGGAGATTATTCCTTCAACCATACCACTGTCAAATTATCCACATTGCTGGAAAATCAAGTGTAATTACAAATGCCTGACCCAAAGTTTAAAAAGACCCAGTCAGAACTGGAAAGATGACACTGACCAAGTCTTGGATAATGAATGTGTGTCTGTGAGTTTCTCGTTGTTTTATATTTAATTATTCATCTTCTTTCATCATGAAACAACAATGAATCTTACGCTTTGCTGTTTTTCTATTAAAAACAGGACACACAAGCCAGAGATGACTAAGAATATAAATCTGTGACAGACTGGTAAATTCCTGTGTGGATTACACTTGGCATCAAGAGACCCTGTGGAATGGTGCTTCTGGAGGGTGTCAAGGAATTTCAGAGAAACCTTCAAAGAAATAGATACAGTGCAAAACCGGAATCAACTCCTGTAAGTTACATCCCAAGTCTGTGGATAGAATGTGAGGTAAAAGTAACCATCTGAGCAAAAGACATGTCTGTGCTTCTCTCTATCAAACGAGAGAAGGGGTTAAATACCAATTCAGAGTTAGTAAGAACTGCAAATGTTGGAGTCAGAGATAACAAGGTGTGGAGCTGGAAGAACACAGCAGGCCAGGCAGCATCAAAGGAGCAGAAAAGCTGACGTTTTGGGCCGGGACCCTTCTTCAGGAAATACCAACTGCTTTTCTGGTGTGTCAGTGTGCTAATTGGGACTTCTGTTGCTAATGTACTAGCCTTGTATTTGAGAGCTACTTGACTAGAGCATGACATGCAAGTTACAGACGAGAACATCTGCTAGATATTCCTGCTCTTGCAGGTAAAATATAAAGGAACAGTAAGGCCCGTCTGTCTCTGATTGCTGTTGCCAGCCGAAAGCTACAATTCAATAGAAAATTGAACAAGTTTCAGTGAGTCTGCAGAACCCAGTATCTCAAAATCAACTGCTCAGCTGCCAGAGTCAACACCACCAGAATCACACAACTGAAAAGCTGCAATGTTTTAGTATTTACTCTGCATGGACAAACTAAAGATTCATTCAAATGTCTTTACACGTGTTATGTTTTTATTTGCTTCTCATTTCTAATCTGTATGTAGGTTTCATTTTTCTTACATTTTAGTAACTAATAAACTCACTCTAACTCAAGGAAACCTGATTAAATTGGTTCAGTTTACAACAT